ATTATGCCAGCGCTGAAAAAGTAAGCGAAGAGGTAATAGCTCTTCGTTTTTATTTTTCTTTGTTTTCGACATTTGTTTTCGACATAGGCAATTTCGGGGTTGAAATTATAAAAGAATGAAGAAGAAAAGCAAAGGAGTATTAAGAATTTCTTGTTTTGCCTGCATTGTATACATTTAGTCTATTTTTGATTTTAGTGAAGTGCGTGCAGTAAACAATTTTTAATTTTTAAAATTAAAATAAAATCTAAAAATATAAATAAAATTTGTGAATTTATCATAAACTCACTGTAAGTATATGCAAAATCAAGTAAATATATTTAAAATGATAATTGAAATTTTTGTTTTGTATTATGTAGATGCTACTGCGTCAAGAACGATTAATTTACCAATGTGCTGCGAATGCAGTCATTCTAAAGCAAGGGGTAAAATGTAGTCAGCTGTTTCAATTGGAAAATTTTACAATTCAAACTGAGGAGGATTTAATTCAATTTAATGAAGAAATCACTGCCGTTGAAGTAGTTGTAAGTTAAATTATATATGTTTCTTACTTTCAATTTCAACTTATTAATATATTCACATGTAAAAATTTTACTAATTCATATATTTCTTTTCATCTATTACGTTATTTATAGACTGCATCAATGAGACGCGTTATTAAAAAACAACCAATTACGCGAAAGATTCCGTGGAATTTTGGAGAATGGTACCCAAGACAAGAAGTCCTTAAGAGCGTTAGAGAATGTGACAGCAGCACTTTTTGGTATGGTATATTGTACATAATTAACTTTAGCGTATACAATAACATATTTTTGTATTTACAGATGCTTTAAGTACAGATGGTAAACCGGAACAAGTGATCGAGTTGAGTCTGGAAATCTCTTCAAGGTTTTAGTAACAATTTCACAGAAAAATATTCATATATATAAGTATGTTATATTTTTTTATGTAAATATTAATATTTTGATTTTATGAAACATAAATATAAAATATTATTTATCCAAAAAAAATTTATAGTATTTTATTTAAAAATCAATAGCATAGGTAAAATTAAAAGGTAAGCTAACATATCAGCGCTGATATGTTGCATTACAAATTCCAAAAAGTAAGCTAACATGTCAGCGCTGATATGTTGCATTACAAATTCGAAAAAGTAAGCGAACATGTCAGCGCTGATATGTTGCATTACAAATTCGAAAAGGTAAGCGAGCATGTCAGCGCTGAAATGTTGCATTACAAATTTGAAAAGGTAATCGAACATTTCAGCGCTTGCCCGCAATGACATGCACGTGTTAAAGTAATTAGGAGTTTCATTTGAATAATCAGCGCTAGGCATTACCATTCAGCGCTGAGGGAATCGATTCCCTCAGCGCTGAAAGTCCCGCTGGGTAATTAAAAATTCTCAATGTATATATATATATAAAATTTATAGTACATGAAATACATTTTTAAATAAGTATAAAAATTTGTAAAGTCTAAAACTTGTAAAGGATATTGTGTCCTAGATAACAAATATTATTTTAGTCAGGCCTTTGTGAAAAAACCAAAGCTTTTATTCATTTCTAGGTGAATTTAAAAAAAAAATGTATTAATCCTTTCCTGTTTTTTATTTGTTTTTTTTTATTTATTATGTAATTGCTTCAAATTTTATTTCACAAATTTATTAACTAATTTTGTTGGAAGCAAAAATTATTTTTCTTTGTTAATTAAGTAAGTAATCGATATAGTTGTTCTGAATGAATTTATTAAAATATCTTAAAATTTAAGTAATTATTACATAGTCTAACATAATGTCATAATAATAATAACATAATTGTTACATAGTCCATCAGCTTTCACAAAACTTTATAAGATCTTCTGTATATTAAAAAATTAAGACAATGGGAAGCAGGCAAATTAAGAAAAGAATTTTCTTTTTTGAGTTTTTTAAATACTTAATATAGTTATATGTATTTAAATATTTAATTTATTTATATGTACTATAAAATTTTTTTTTAACTATCATTCAAAAATTTTTAATTTAATATTTTTATATAAAAGCATGGCATAGAAAATATTCTATAATTGTTTCTTTGTGATATATACTAAAATATTGTTGCATTGTATTGATATTATATAGAACCCTGGTGATGACTATAGATTATAGTCGAAATATCGATTAAAATGAAATTTTATAAAAACAAAAAATTTTTTAAAAAGTTATAACTTAACTATTCCCAATTAGCACTTTAAAAAACAAAATTATTATTTATGTTAATATAAAATAAATTTGGAAAAATATTGTTAAAAACCAAATAATTAATAAATAATATACATATATTATTTAAGTATTTTGTGAATAATTTAAAAAAAATATTATTAATTGTTTTTAC